AAAAAAAAATAAAATGAAAAAATTGGGTAAAAAATGGTGATAATTCCGCTAAATATTGTTAAAAAAAAAAAAAAAAACGTACGGAATCGTATTCCTCCCGTTAAAACCAATAAATTCATCGCACGGCTAAGTTTTAAATTATATAAAAATTCCAAAAACCTGTTAGATTAAAGTTTCAAAGTTTAAAATGGTTGTTCCCAATTCATACGTTGTACTAGGAAAGCTTTATATCATACAATAAGCTAAAACGTTAATAATATTGTTGTTGAAATATAAATTATAATTGATTTATAATAATTAGTTTTATTTGAGTATCTAAGTCCTAATTTCATTTCAGTTTAATCACTGATGATACTAGAGTATTAGAAGATTATACACCAATATCCAATTTCAATGTTAGTGAAAATAATGTTCAATTGGATAATACATTTGTTGATATTAGTTCTCCGACTCAAGGAACCAACATAAATATTTCAGCTATGTAAGTCTAAAAATATGTGTGATTTATATATTAGATCTTTTAATAACATACCTAAGCATTTAATAATCTAAAAACAACAAAAAAATGAATAAATAATAAGAAATAAATATTTGTATAGAGAAAATATGCTATCTTCTAATGAAAAAGACTCAAATAATTACAATGATGTTCTAGTTCAACAAGACAACAACTATAAGTTAGTATTTGAATATTTTTATGTATTCCTAAATACAAAATAATAAAAAAATTATAAATATTATATTTTATTTGTAATAATATTTTAATTGTATTTATTAGGGATTTTAGTATATCTTCACATTCGTTAACTGTTGTGACTGAAAATGATGAATCAACATCCTATTCGTAATATTTTTAATTAGTTAAATAAAATACCTAATAATCTTTAATTGAAGATATTTATTTTTATATATTAGGACTTTGTCTGGTCGAAGGATAGTCGATATAAAATACTTAATTGATCAAGTACAAACAAGACATGTAGGTGGGTTTGATTGTTCATTTATTGATATGGTCTATCAATCGGAAAGCATATATGGGTTTCAAACCATCATCACTTTTAAAAGCAGAGTATGTAATATCAAAAAAACCTTGTATTCCGAAATATGCAATGAAACTATGATTCCAATTAACGAAGCTGTCGTAAACGCTTGTCAAACAATAGGTGTATTGGTTTTAAATAAAAAGTAAGAAAGTAAAAATAACAACTTGTGCGAACAATTTAATGCAATTATAAATAAACATATAGCCGGCAAACGAATTAATTTCTCCAATATCCGCTAAGGTATAAAATACTAATAAAACATCGAATTTCGTCATGCGTTATATGTGGATCTGGACAATTTAAAAAAWGTGCATAACGTCTAGTTTCATCCACGAGATAATTAATTATGTCATAATCCAAAAAAGTTTCAAAAATGTCTACTATAGATAAGTTTTTATACTTTGAAAAATCAGGTTGAGGAAACTTCAATTGAAGCTCTTCAAAATCTCCCCCTTTTATCCACGTAAAAGATTTCTTACCAGTTTTAATTTTTTTCATCCACTCATCAGTACTTTTCACGCTTACATGTTGATATTGTTCACTCGATGTCCCAGATTTACTGCTCAAACTTTCTTCAGGATAAATGTTATCATCACCAATACCGCCGTACCTCTTATTATTGGCTAATTTAATTTCTGCTTTAGATCGTAATTGTCGTGCTGATAAATTGTCAACTTCACCATTGTTTTCATCTCCGGAATCTTCATCAGTTTGAACACACGGTTCCGGTGGTTCAATAAATATCTCATCTGCATCTATGTCATCATTATATAAAATGTCTAATGCTTCAGACAGCGAAAATCCAGTTCTGTTGAAAAATAAATAATATATGTAGTACAGGCGCCTAGCGTTACCATACGGTAACATCAAACTTTTAACTTTCATAACTTATTCAATATTGGATAATATCACACTTWATTTAGTTAATATTAATCCTTATAATATACTGAATATGTATAAATACAAATTATATTTGATTCATATATTTTAAACATATTTAATTTACTTACTCGAAATTGAAATMCATGCTTTACGAAATAATTTTCAAACTAAATTGAATTTGTTGATAAATATTTAACGTTCGCATATACTATCGATATTTATATATAAAATTAATCACTGGGTCATTATCGACGATATGMACTATYGTGGAACTGGATAACCCAATAAGTTTAAAAATAGCATGCACTCAAACACAACTATAATTGTGTTACCATACGGTTACGCTAGTCCTTAATGGGTTAACCCAAGATAATATATATTATTAACCCAGACAATATATATTATTATCAAATTATAGGACAGATGCATATTACTACAAGAAGTTTATGTTATTTTGTAATTTATACACCAGATTGGATAGCGGTAGAAAAAATTAATTATGACGCAACTTTTTGGGAGAATAATATAATTAAAAAATTAAAAACGTAAGACTTAATATATATTTTAAAATAAATGCAAATATGATTATAATAATATATTATTATTTTTATTATTATTAATATTATACTTCAACCTTGCACTTAATTTTTAACTACATTTATAGGTATTATTTGAAGTGCTTGCTTCCCGAATTAGTCAACCCAATGTATCCTAAAAGGATGTGCAAAACTGACATTCAAGATCCAGATCATATACTTGAAAATATAAAAAATAAAAAATAAATATTAAATCGTGTTCTTGAAAAGTATACCCAGATACCCCAACCTACACGTTTTTAATAAATTACCTCTATCTATATTAATATTTCATTTGTATTTTGAAAAAAAGGTAATTATTATATAAATATATATTAAGCTATAATATTTAATCGTAGTTGTGCTTTTAGTATTGGCGCACATTATTTGCGCACACATGATTTTTATTTTCATTAAATGTTGTTACAGAATCGTTGAGATTAATTATTGTGCTTTTTAATATAGATATCTGATCATGTACAATACGCATAACATCTTTCTGATTGTTTTCTAATTTATTGATCGAACTATCATATGTTTGTACATCGTCAGACGTCAACATAATCTACTCCATACATCCATTTTAATACCGTACCCCCAAACTCAATAGATCGCTTAACCTTTTTGTTATGTCTACCCATTTGTACAATTAAACCTACCTCGTTTTCCAATTTAATTCCAATAATACTTACATTCGAGCATATTGGTAAGTACAAAAATAAATACATATGCATGTTTATTGATAATCTTACACACTAAATGTAAATCGTAAATTATTATACGCAAAATATTATTAACTCGATTACCTACTTCAAATGTTCGTACAACAATTAAAGGTACAGTAGAAACTAGATTTTCTAGCCTACACAATATTGTTATATATAAGGGTACAAAATTGGGCAGACAGTGGTTTTAATTAAAAGTTGGTACCTACACGTGGATAAGCGAGAATATTTAAAATATTACGGTGGCAATGCATTTACGTGTATGAATTTAATAATTTACGCGATCCGCCAAGAACGGAGGTCGAGAAAATAATAAACATCTCTCCCGAATGAGCACAGTCGTCGGCCGGCAGCCGACAATGAGTAGTGGCCAGTGGGCGCGGCTTAAACGTCGCGTCGCGTGCTTGCGGATCTAGAAAACACCTAACAGCGCATTCTCTTGGTCATTGCTCCGTTTTGTTTGCCCGTGTGGCGTCCTCTTAAAAATTCAGTCATAATTTCATGTATCTACAATCCTTTGTTGTAGAGTTATACGATTCTGAGCGGAGACGGTTTGTCAGTATTGGATATTTTATACTACATTAATTATAGGTATTGTTATTTAAAAAAAAATTTAAGTAGCCTATCTATAAAATAAATTCCAAATCAATAAAATCAGATTCATTATCTACCCATCACTCAGTCATTCATAGTATATACAATTAATTATAGCATATTCATAAAAGTCATTAGCAGCATAAACTATTAAAATTAGAATATAAAGTATACTCTAGAAATTTCAAGAACCTATTCACGAATAATACTTTAAATTACAAAAATATTGTTATTTAATATATAATTCCATCCAAATTTGAATTTAAAGTAACTATAAAAAAAAAATGTGTTT